TTCTTTGTGGGGGATACGGATCCAGCCTAAACCCTGAACGAAGGAATAGTCCAAGCCATATCCATTATACCTTAGTCATGGTTACCTGATACTTTAAAAACTTCAGAAATATTTATATCATACACTCCTATCCGGAAGCTCAGGAAATGTTGTAGACAGAGGGTAGAAAGACTGAAAGAGCCAGCAGCTAGGAGGACTGCTGGGAAACAGTGTCATCTGGCAGAAACTTGTCTGTTGCAATCAGGAATTCACAGCAGCTGGCATTGCCTATGAAACCTACACAAGACCAAGCCAGTCATGTCTGCCAGGGGAGAATCATTTTTCTGTAGGGGAGGATTTCTTGCAGGATGCCAATTCTTCAGTGGATGGCTTCACACGATGCACATAATTGGGTTATTAAAAAAGTAAAGGAAGAAAAAAAGACAAGTTTGGAGTGACTGGAGTGGGTCTAGGAGAAGTACGAGAGAGAAGGAGGAGGATTTAGTGAATATATATTGTATACATGGAGGCAATTCTCAAAAAAAAATTGTATTAAAATGATTCTTGTTCTCATCATTTGCCTGCAAATTTCATGATTTCCTTGTTTGTAATAGCTGAGTAGTATTCCATTGTGTAAATGTACCACAATTTCTGTATCCATTCCTCCACTGAGGGACATCTAGGTTGTTTCCAGATTCTATTATTCTATTATTACGAATAGAGCTGCCACGAACATGGTTGATCAAATGTCCTTGTTGTGTAGTTGAGCATATTTTGGATATATGCCTAGGAGTGGTATAGGTGGATCTTGAGAAAGCACTATTCCTAATTTTCTGAGGAGGTCCTCCCCTATCAGTGGACTAGGGGAGGGGCACAAAGGGAGAAGAGGGAGGGAATGTGGGATTGGGAGGAGAAGAAGATGGGGGCCACAACTGGGATACAAATTGAATAAATTGTAATAAATGATAATAATAAAAATATTAAAAACATATAGCTAAAAGAAAAATTTTGCAAATAAACAAATTTGGAAAATACTAAGAAAAAAAATTCTTAATTTAGAGTTGTTAGTAATAGCAACCCCGAGCGGTGAAGACTTGCCATGTGACATGTAGTATTTGAATTGTTAGACTCAACGAGGGAGAGAGAGAGAGAAGGGGACACAAAAGCAAGCATTCTAGAGCTGGCGCACTGTAAGCCATTATCAAACAAATCATTAGGGAAAGTCTATAGACTATATGGTGGAGTTATTCTGGCATGAATATCCTGTCCTTGATCTTAAGGTTATTGTCTGCTACACAGCTATTTTATCTGTGAAGACGGCCCGAGAGTGAAACCTATTTCAAACTTTCTTCCCTCCATTTGAACTTTCTAGGTTGCCATTAACCTGAATAATTTGGAAATTAATCTTGCATGATCCAGTGTCATGTACAAAGTTTTTATTTAGTTTTGATTGTTAAGAGTTTCTGCTTTGTGTTTTCTGGGAATGCACTGCTTGCTCTTAATGTCCAGTTTAAGCTGTGGGTGCAACCTTCTGTATCTTTCACATTCCATTATCCATAACCCTAATCTGTCATTTTCTTCCCATCCTTTATATCATTAGAGACTCTAAAGGTTTATTTTTCTCCAATAATTACCCAATCACAGCACTTAACCTGAAGTTAGATACTTTCTATGAAAGTTAACTAAACTCAAGAAAGCTAAAAAGAAAAAGAGTTTCCTCTTCCTTTCTAATGGAGAACACTTTGCAGATGGTATTTTTGCCATCAAATGCTTTACCAAATGCTGTGCATAGTAAAGGGTGTGCTATCAGACCTCAGAGACTTCCATGTCCTATTAACTGTAACTTTTGAGACTGTGCTTCTGGTTGGGTGCCTTACTTGATTTGTGGTCCTAATATTAATATTTAAATGGATGCATTTACTTTTAAAAGCAGAAATGCTTTCATGTTTTCTTCATTTGGGTCATACACAATCCTTAGCTTCTGTGTTTCCTCATATTGTATAGATGTCAGAACAAAACCTATGGCATCTTAGGTTTCCTACTTCAGCAGAAATAGAGAATCTGATAAAACTGATAAAGTAGAGAATCTGATGTCACCTTCATGGGTCATTTTTTGGGTCTTTTTTAATTAAATTATTATTTTTATATTAATTACAGTTTATTCACTTTGTATTCCAGCTGCAGCCCCCCATCCCCTCCCAATCCCATCCTCCCTTCCTCATTTCCTCCCATGTCCCTCTCCAAGTCCACTGATGGGGGGGGTCCTCCTCCCCTTCCATCTGACCCTAGCTTATCAAGTCTCATCAGGACTGGCTGCATTTTCCTCCTCTGTGGTCTGGCAAGGCTGCTCCCCCCTCGGGGGGACATGGGTCATTTTTATCATCCTTAAATCTAACATAATAATGTAAAGTATGGTCATAAGATTAAATTAGCTCTGTGTGTGTGTGTGTGTGTGTGTGTGTGTGTGTGTGTGTGTGTGTCTTGAGTGGGTTAAAGTACATGGGTTAGTGCTTTAGAGTCTCTAAGCACAATGTAAATAAGAGTAGCGAGCACCAAGGTAACTGCTGTATTCTGTTGGCAGAATTTTGCAGACAGCTGTATAGAAAGGCCTTTGACTTAGGATCAAGAGAAGTCAGGAATCCAATTACATAGTCAGTAGTGAGGGGAAATCATTTATTCTTTCAGAATCCGCTCTCCAAGACGGAAAGTGGGAGAACAAGAACTTACCATGAGGGTTGGCATGCTGTAAGGATGGGCATGGCTTAGGTCATGTAAAAGCTTCTGTCTGCGAATGTGCTGTGACTGCACTGAAGAGTTGCTAGGATGGCTACCCAGTGTGCACATTTCCTCTTGGAGGGTGGAGGAGTTCAAGACCTGGACCCTTGCACTATAATGACTTCTTCTGAGCAAATGGTATGGAACAGTCACTATGCTAAACGTTGAGAATAAAAACTCCTTTCATACAGGGAATTTTCTTTCATAAATCTTACCAGGTAGTAAAAGAAAGAGACCTGTAAATAATGTAGGCAATATAGATGAACAGCTGCCTGGTATATCTTGTGTTTCATTTAAGTGTCAAAGACATAGTTCAGCCCTTGGATGGCAGGAAGTGGTCCCGGCATGAAAGCTTACATCATGTCTCTCAGACTCTGCTTCCAGGGAGCTATAACCTCTTGGATGGCAAAGATCTGACTATGTGGGAGAGCCATAGTGACACCCAAGGTACGGCCATTCATGTAGACTTCTGGGTACTGTCTATAGTCAGGTCAACTGCTGTTGAGACTGTGTGTGTGCCTCTGTGTGTGTGTGTGTGTGTGTGTGTGATTGTATGTGTGTGTGTGTGTGAGCTAGGAGTATAGAGAGGGGGAGACAGAGGAAGAGGCAGTAGTAGAATGAGGGAAAAGAGAGATTTGTTCCTTTGCTTAAGGGATTGAAACATGGCTAACAAATTAAGGTGCCTTGGAAAATTCTATCTATAAATCATGGCTACAAAGTAAAAACAATTTTCTTTGAGTATTCAATGAGAATAAAAAAAAAACACGTGTTTTATTGAGTTATGAACCTTGATCCCCTATAAGAATCATTATGTAATTCTCTATCATTTACATGATTATTAAAACTGTAATATGATTATAAATATGTGCAATGGATTTAACTATCCACCACACCAGGGAGAGAGCTTTATGTAGTGGAAACAGTCAATAAGAACTTGAACACACACAGGAAAGTAAAAAAGAAAAAAAAAGCGAGAGAAAAGGAAAAATAGAAGAAAGTAAGCAAGAAAAGACAGGGTCAGTAGAATTGGACATCAAATTTGAAACTTTGCTCATATTTTTGATAGATAGGAAATCAGTTGTATACACTATAGCTTGCTAAATTTTGACAGGCTACTCAACCTTGTTGAGCCTGATTCTCTCATATAAACATGAGGAGGTCGTTTTTGAGGTGTTTGTGAGACCTGCATGCTAATTTTATAGTTACATAAAATGAATAAGATCTTGAAGTCTATCTTACAGTATAGTACCTACAGCTAATATTATGTATGACTGTCTATTTCTTTTGTGGCATATGTGTATGCATGTGTCCCTGTGTGTACGTGTGTGTGTGTGTGTGTGTGTGTGTGTATGACACTGGCTGTTTTCCTCTGTCATTTTCCCCAAAGATCCTCCTCTCTCCACATTCCCAGCACTGGGATTGAAAGTGTGCACCCATGTCTTTATGAGTGCTGCGGATCTGAACTTAGGTCCTAACGCTTGCACAGCAAGAATCTTTCAGACTGAGCTATTTCCCCAGCCATGTTTAGAAAATTGTAATAGGTTTTATGTGATGTAAGTGTGTTGTAGAGATAACACACAGAAAAAGTTCGAGGAGGAATGATTAGAGATGATGTATGTATTTATGAAGGTACACTATGGCAAGAGATTCATAGAAATGCATACACTTCTAAACACATTCAGTTGTATATACTGTAAGTACACATTTTTGTTTATCAGATGCCATATAAAGTCCTTAAACTTCACTTTAGTAAAATTATTAGCAAATAATACATGCTTAAAAAGTTGTTACTGCTAATTCTGATTTTAATCTTATTTTTGTTGCTGTTAACTCTTGAGCTTAGGCCAATGCTGCCTGCTGCTACTTATTCACCATTGCCACATCATGTGGCATTCTCTCACATATTTCTCATATGTTTATATGCACCAAATTATACCACAGAACTGAACATTTTAGGAGTATGGTCATAAGTTCTGGGGAGATTGTATTTCAATAAGCAAACAGTGTACCATTTTAATAAGGCCTGCTTCTTGACTTTCTGTTGCATACAGATATGCATCTCCATCTAAAAGAAGAAACCAGAACCTCCACATTTACCCAGGAGAAGTAAAGTGACAAGTGTCAAACAGCTATGAACCATCTAAGTTGCTCCCAAAGCTGCGAAGCATCTACCTTTGTTATTAAACTGCCGTCTTCATGAATGATGCTAGATAGTACCTGGAAAGAACATTAAAAGCCACACTCACCGATAAGATCTGGTCTCCTCTCTGGAGCTCTCCACTCAGGTCTGCTGGTCCACCAGCCAGAATGAAGGATACAAAAATACCTTCTCCATCTTCCCCGCCCACAATGTTGAAGCCCAGGCCCGTGGAACCTTTGTGAAGGACTACCTTGCGAGGCTCCCTGTAGAAACAAATAGAGAACACAGCTCACAGGGGCACCCCTCTCAGGTTCTGCTTTTTTTTTTTTTTTAACTTTTTGTGGGAATATGTGATATCAGCTGTTCACCACTTACTACAGCGACAGTGGCTTCCCATGGTAAAATGTATTTGCAGATTAGGAAAGATCCTATGAGGGCAGCTAGCTGAGTTCTCATCACAACTATAGACAGCCTATGCAGCGCCATTCCTGAGACACCTTAAGTCAGTGAGTGTTTCCTCCAGTTTTGCTCTTAAAAAAAAAATCTGTGATTGCATTGATCATAAAATATTCTGCAGAATGGAAAGACTAGGAAGTAAAGGAGAGATCTTGATGGAAGAATCAGGTTGAACCTTGCAGGTGGTAGAATATGCCGTGGAATCTCTGAGTCAGTAAGACTATTTAAGTGAAGAAGACTAACAAATGGTCACACACAGTGTTGAGCTGCCAATGTGACGGGAGGCAGAGAAAACAGAATGTTCCTCAAAAGACCAGCTATGAAACAGTGACAGTTTGAGGAAGGGTGACATCAGTGAGGAAAACAAATGTCAGAGGAGTGAAGAAATTGAAGCGGTGGAGCACTGGAGAAGGAGAGAGTGACTAAGTTCCAGCAACTAAAGTTCCCTTATTTTCCTCTCACTAACATATGAATAGTAAGGAGCCACCCAGCGTTTTATTATGCTGATGATATGAAGAGTTTATTTGCAATCACATTTCCATGCTTAAAATGATATATCTATGTTGAGCGTAAAACTCACATCCCAGCTTGGATTGTAAGTAATACGGTGCGTACTGCTACACTGTCAGAAGCAAATTCACACACAGTAATTTATTATATTCTACACACTCTGGATAAACAGCAACTGTACCTCGGAGTTTTCCAGGTGGATGTGCTCTAAGCATGTTTGCAAGCCGCATGAAAACCCACAGACCCAGTAAATGAATTTATCCTCTACTGTGTTCGAAATCAGTATTTGGAGAAAAAGAGAAAGGACAGCAATGCGCTGCAATGTGTATTAGGCTTGGGTTCTACATATCGAGGAGGAAATATTTGAGAAGGATTAAGATGAAGACACTGGTCACGTAGGTAGCCAAAGGGGACTGCATTTGGAAGAGGGGCTAATGCCCAGACCTTAGTGTGTGAGGGTTCTGATGTCACAGAAGAACCAGGATGCCAACATGCCTGAGCTACGACAGCCACTCCCAAATCATTGTCAGACAATTCCAGTGTCAATTCAGTGTTAGCAAATGTTGACTATCTTTCTTCATTTAGTCCCAGTGCTTGAGGAGACAAGACATTTTAGGTTTTAAGTTGTAAGGTGCTCGATCCTGTAAAAAATTTTTTTCAGCAGGTAGTTGATCTTTTTTAACACATAAGCACATGCATGTTGAATGCAATGCAATGTTGAATGTAAAGCTTTTTCACTCATGGTAACTATAAAAGTCTGGGAGTTAAGCTCCCTAAGAGGGAGGGACGAAATGAAGAATTTCACTTATACTACCTCACCGCCAGTGGCTGGGGTAGAAACTCAGCTCCCACATGGCTCCCAGAGAGGCAGGGGTTTCTAAATGTATTAGTTATTTTTCTGTTTCTGTGACAAAGTATCATGATAAAATATATTTATTTCAGCTTACAGCTCCTGAGGGATACAGTTCATGATGACGGGGAAAGAATGGTAGCAGGAAACAAGACAATCACAGTTTTATCAACATGCAGGATGCAGAGAGACATAACAGGAAGTGGGAAGAGGTTATGAAACCCAAATCCTACTCCCATCGACATACTTCTTCTGGCAAAGCTCTACAATTTTTTTTTTTTAACTTTTCATTGATTCTTTGTGAGTTTCACATCATGCTTCTCAGTCTCACTCATGTTCCCATTTCTTTGTATTTGCCCTCTGTCCTTGAGACCCCCATCTCCCCAAAAGAAAACAAACAGAACAAAACAAAGCATAGAAAACATGTCCTGGAAGCTATAGGGTGTCACAGTGTGTCCCACAGTCTACCTTTTTGTCCACACGTCTTTACTTGCAAATGTTCATTGCAGTGAGTCATTGGTCTGGTTTGAGGTCTCCGGCTTCTGATACACTATTAATATTGATCATCACCAGGACTTCTCTTTGTTATCCTGTTGTTGCCCTGTGTCATGGAGATTCTGAAGCTTTGGATCTGTAGGATAGGCCCTTTCCCATGCTCCAGCAGTTCACAGATGAGCTAGATTTGGGGCTAGGCCACTCAAAGCCCTGAATGTGGGCCTGGGTGGTAGCTAAGAAGGTCAGCCCAACAGCTCTCCAGTACCTACACCACCAGGGCAACCCCCCAGCACTGCCCCAGCTAGCCTACCTAATGCCACCGCCAGCAGAGGGCAAAGTCAGCTCTCCTGCTCTTACATGCTTGGGGCCTCACTCTCATATCCTTGGGGTTGGCTCATCTGTGCCCCCACCACCAGGGCCAACTCCACTGTATTGCTCAGGCTCTACTGTGTTGACCAGGTACAGGGCTTGATCTCCCACGTGCTGCAACCAGTGACGGGCAGGGACAACTCTCCTCCTGTTATGACCCCTGGGCCAGCTCTTCCCACTGCCACATGTGGCAAAAGGTGAGGGGGTGGAAAGCATGACCCTGCACCCACGCCATCTCACAAGTGAACAGTGTGGGGCCATCACGCTCATGCTCATGACCTCAGGGCTGGCTCACCCTTCCCCTGCCATCAGGGCCAGCTCTACTGTGCTGCCCAGGCGAGGTACAAGGCTTGCTCTTCTGAGTGCTGCAGCTGGTAAAGGTGCTATTACTTAAAAGTTCCTCAACCTTCTCAACAGCACCACCAACTAGGGAGCATTTCTCTATGAGCCTATGGGGGGGGGCATTTCTCATTTGAATCACACAAAAGGAGTACAACTTTGCTCTTCATCTTTCTGCCTCATTGATGTTGGGCAGTGTAGAAGTTCAGTTCTCATTCTACTTACTGACTTCAGTTCAGAAGAGGAAGTAAGCGGAGAGCTTGCTTTTACAATTGCTTTCCCTGGCTGCTTGGGTGCAGAGTTTACCTCTCTGGAAGACACATGATCGAAAGAGGGAGCAAGGCTTCACTCCTTTCATGTTTGGCTATGGGCCAGGGCAGCATTATCAAATCTGTGACAGCACGTAAAATCCCTGCACACATGTCAGCCAGGCAAAACCTTAGCCGTGAGAAGGGAAAGTGAGTACAAAGTCCTACGCCTAACCAAGGAGAAGCTATTTCCAATGGGTACCTGCTGAGAAAAGAGAAATCATTTTTCTCCAGTGGAGTGACACTGGGTATATCCACCACATTCCAGGGCAGGCCTCTTGGTAGGGAGTAGTTGGTGAACACAAAATGGAGTCCATGTTTTTTGTTTGTTTGTTTGTGCTTTGTTGTTGTTATGATTTGGTGGTTATTGTCTTTTAGTTTTAATTTCATTTTTTTGTCTCACTTTTTTCTCTTCAAGAGAAAGAGAGGAGGAAGAGACAAAGAGAGAAAGAGAGGCAGAGAGAGAGAGAGAGAGAGAGAGAGACAGAGTTGCATAGTTTTGTAGCAGTTTCCTCTGAGACCAAAACATTCTATCCTGCAGAGAAGCTGCTTAAAACTTAACCCAAAATAGCTTCGGGAAGCACCTTAAACAAACAACAAAAAAAGGGAACAACTCAAAATAGCTTCAGGAAGTCCCTGAAACGGACCAGATTTGCTAGGTGTATGCCTTCCATGAGTAAATAACAAAGACTGCTGAGAGTGAGTTTCAGACAAGCCATCCTGCAAAGACCACCAGGCCAGACCGGTTGCCTGGAGGAAGCAGAACCTAGCTGCGCTGCCTGAAAGAGGCGTACATCAGCTGAGGCACCTGGAAAGGACACTCTTCAACCTGTTGAACTGCCTCCAGGCTGTGCAATATGCCCCAAGTGTTCCTAGCTTTTGTGTGCTGTCACCCATGCTGGGGTGGACTTTGGGTCATTTTTTGCTCCTGTAAATAACCCCTCATGAATACCACTGTAAGAAACCCTAATTACAACGCACTGGTTCACCAAGTTGGACTTGAGTGGTGTCTGTACTTTGGCCTTCTGTGGCCTTCCTGTCTGGAGTGAGTAGATGGGTAGGCTGTGTTTCCTCAGAAAAAAGTCTTGTTATAAAACAGGAGGGTAGGGAGATGGGGGAGATCTAGCAGAACTTGGGAGAGGGTTAAAAATATGATCAAAATACATTATATGAAAAGTTTAAAAGAGTAATATTCTCTCTCCCACTTCCTTGCTAACACCTCCCTTCCTGGACCTTAGCCTGGAGATAAAAGGATTGAATTTAATGTTTTGATTTGTTGTGTCAGTTGGTGATTGCAGACTATAGTATTCTCCAGTATCTTATCCAGTATATAAAAGATGAAAGAAAAAAGAAAAAAAGAAAGTCCCAGGAAGTCATTGCTACCCTTTCATGTCTTCTCTGACGCAGTTTGCTTCTTCCTTATATTTCTTTCCAGCTTTTAGAGATTCCTAGTTTATTGGTTTTATTATAGTCAAAGTTTTTTTTTTTTTTTTTTTTTTACATTGTTTGTCTATTAAAGAAGAGGAAAATTAGACAGGAATGGACAGGCACATGTGAAGGGACACTAGCCCACTCAAGCATGTGGCTCTGGTAGGCCTTGCTCTTCTCCCATTCCCTCTGCCTTGCTAAAAACATTACATCGAGTTCTACTGCTAGCTACCAAGTCCATTCCCTTATTTGTCCACCTTCTCCTCCTGGGCCTGACTACCAAGGTCCAGCTACCACACTATTGAAGTCCAGCAATCAAAAGCCTGCTTTGTCTTAGCATGCCTAATTAAAATTAAATATACCTCATTCGAACACAGGGCTCCCCCCTTTACCATTATAAACCGCTGTTTTCCCATGGGCCGCTCTGTCTCTTCTCTATCCAGAGGCAGTCCTTTGTCCTCTGGCACAAATACCCCTGCCCCCGAGAGGAGACTTTATTTTCTTTCCA